AATAGACAGTTTCGACCACCTGAAAATCTTAGTCTGTTTTTACAATGAATCGTAGAGAGATCACACGTTGTGTTTGAAATCATCTGAATTTTCATTTCCTTTTGTATAGTTTGTTACATGGGTCTTCCACGTCAACATTACCAATTGCTATTTTCCCTTCTGGCATATAACACAACTTTTTCCTTTACGAAAGTTGAAGCTGGTATAAGGAGTGCTTTGACGGTTAAAGTTTCAAATTGTAATGAGAGTTTCTAGGATCTGCTGTTGCGACAACATGCACAGATCCACCTATTCCCAAGCGAAATTTGAGCACTGCACCTGCACGGGGCGAGAATCCCGTCCCAGCTCCACCACCTCCTCCACCTGTAGTGGCAAGTTGCGCCGGATTTCCGAAGGTCAGATTTTTTCATTTGAGATGTGTGAAACGAGGGTATTACATTGTGGCCCATTAATTGTGGGACGCTGCTCTTCAGTATTTAATGGTTTCAAGAGTTTTTTCAATGGGGGCCGAAATTTCTCGTGAAACACTCCTTTCTCTGAAGAATTTGCAAAAGTTCTGTTTTGGGTCAATCACCTTAAAAAAGATATCAATGACTATGTAGGAAAGTTGCTTTTGTCTCAAATCAAGTTTAGAAAATGTTTTTGTTAAACTTCTGCTGTTGTGAAGCTCAGACAATGTATCAGATTAAATATGCGAGAAAATAATAAGAATCATTTTTTCACCGTATCATAAGAATTCAAAATTGAAAATGGTACTCACTTTGCTATACTCAGGATATGCAAAAGGGACCTTCCACAGTACTTGATTCCGGAGTTTATGGTGATGATGCATGCTTCATCTCACGGTTCAAAAACACTTTTGTAGTAGGTCAGTTTTTCTCACATTCAACACTTCATTTTCTTTTGAGAATTATTGATATACTTTCATAGGTGTTGCGGATGGTGTTGGAGGTTGGCGTAAGTATGGAATAGACCCTTCACAGTTCAGTCGAAAACTGATGAGAGAATGCGAAAAGCGCGTCAGCAGTGGCGACTTCGATCCAAAGAGGCCAGAAACACTGCTAGAGAAAGCTTTCAAAGCGACCGCAGAATCTCCGCGGCCAGTTGGTAAGTTTGCAGATAATTTCCGTTCTTTGCGCGATTAGCACAACTTTTTAGGCTCTTCGACTGCATGCGTCTTGGTCGTTCATCAGGAGATGTTATACTCTGCGAATCTTGGAGATTCTGGATTCATGGTAGTCAGAGATGGACGAGTACTCACCAAGAGCGAAGAACAAGTCCATTATTTCAATGCTCCTTTCCAGCTTACTCTTCCTCCTGAAGGTGAGTATTCGAAAATATGAACATCATTATAGTAATTGATAGACGTTTTGTTTACAATAATTATTTAGGCTATCGCGGTTTCATTGGAGACACACCTGATCTGGCTGACAAATCAGAGATACGCGTGCAAAA